AGGACGCCTCCAGGGGCAAGTGGACTCTCTGCTCCCGGCTTCATTACTCTCTGCCTCACCAGTCGCCTTGGACCTAACTTCTCTTCATCTCTGGGAACCTAAAGCAGTGGCTGTTAGCCTCTGATGAAAGCCATGGACCCTTGTTCTAGAAAATGTATCCAATGCATACTTTTCTTTTAATGCATTATTTTGAAATAATGTCATACAGAAAGAAGTTGCAAGAACTGTACAAAGAACTTCTTGATATTCTTAGCCTACATTACCTTTCTTTCTCCTTCCCCCTCTACTTGTGTGTGCACATTTTTTCCCCGAATCACTAAAGTTGCAGACATCGTGCCCCTTTACCTCTAAATATCTCAGCAATACATTTCCGAATTCCTGAAATGCATCTGTGGACTCCTGGAGGTCCGTGAGTTCTAGCTTAAGAACCGCAGTCTGAAACCTTCGTCTAAGACCAGGCTCTTCCCCGCTGTGACTCTGGGCCTTCTCTCTCTCAGGAGGAGCCAGTGCCGTTGCCTGCCCTCCCAGGGCCCCTCCCCAACCCATCCGGTGGTACGTACTGAGTTCTGTCCCTACTCTTCCCAGCCCTTGGGTTGCTCCCTGGAAAGGCACAGGAAATGGAGGACTGGAATTTCAACACACCCTCCTCCCCAACAGAGCTCCAGAGCAGTTCCTCCTCGGAGCATAGCAGCTGGGCAGCCTTCTCCACCTCCCCATCTTCCCCCGGAACCCCCTTGTCTCCTGGAAACCTATTTTCTCCTGGGACCCCTGTTTTCCCAAGTCCCGTCTTCCCCATCACTTCTCCCCCGTGTCATCCCAGCCTCTCCCCATTCTCCCTAGTTTCTTCCCAGGTCTCAGATCTCTCTCCACACACCCCCAGCTCTCCACTCCCATTCTCCCCCAGTGTGCCCCAGTTTCCAATCCCATCCTCTCAGTTGCCACAGAGTTCTATCCTTTCTAGTTCTCCACCTACCTTCTCTCCCAGTTGTGCCCCAGTCACTCTTTCGCCTCATCCCTTCCCTCCGTGCTCCTCTGCTTCTCCCCTCCCCTCCACCACAGCGGCTCCTCTCCTCTCTCTGGCTAGTGCCTTCTCACTGGCTGTGATGACTGTGGCCCAGTCCCTGCTGTCCCCCTCACCTGGGCTCCTTTCCCAGTCTCCTCCAACCCCTCCTGGTCCCTTACCGAGCTTGCCCCCTTCCCCTCCCCTTGCTCCTTGTGGCCAGGAGAGGCCTTCACCTTTAACAGCCGAGTTGGAGAGTGAGGTGAGTAGGAAAACAAGAGGGATGATTAAGGGGGCTCCGTCTTGGATCACTCCTCTCCTGATGGGTCCACACTTTGTAGGTCTCCCCAAATCCTGCTCGGCCACTCCTGGGTGAAGCCAGACTGGCACCCATCTCTGAAGGTGAGGCCTCTGACCTTTCCATTATCCCCAACCCACTTTATGTACTGCCACTGATTTCTCTCCCTCCTTCCGTGACTCCCTCCTTGTTTCTCTACAGAGGGAAAGCCCCAGCTTGTTGGGCGTTTTCAGGTGACTTCATCCAAGGAACCAACTGAGCCTCTTCCCCTGCAACCAACACCCCCAACTCTCTCTGGTTCCCTGGAGCCTCCAACCCCTCAGCTGCCCTCAGAAAGCTCAGACACAGAGGATAGCGCTGGAGGCGGCCCAGAGGCCAGGGAAGCCCTGGCCGAGAGTGACCGTGCGGCTGAAGGCTTGGGGACTGGAGTTGAGGAAGAAAGGGGCAGTGGGAGGGAACCCCAAGTCGGGGACAGCCCCCCATCCCCGGGCCACCCTAGCCCAGTATGGATGAACTACTCCTACAGCAGCCTGTGTCTGAGCAGCGAGGAATCCGAGAGCAGTGGGGAGGATGAGGAGTTCTGGGCTGAGCTGCAGAGTCTTCGGCAGAAGTGGGTCTGGGGAGGACGGAGGACAGTAGTAAGTGGGCTTGGGGGAGCAGTGTGTGGCTCACCCCCTTATGCTCTTGGTGCGTCCTTAGGCACCTGTCAGAGGTGGAGGCACTACAGACACTGCAGAAAAAGGAAATCGAGGACTTGTACAGCAGGCTTGGGAAGCAGCCCCCGCCGGGTATCCTGGCCCCTGCTGCTATGTTGTCCAGCCGCCAGCGCCGCCTCTCCAAGGGCAGCTTCCCCACCTCCCGACGCAACAGCCTGCAGCGCTCAGAGCCTCCAGGCCCTGGTGAGACTGCAGTTGCCAGGCTCCCATCTTTCCCAAGTCCCCTTCCCTAGTGATGCAGCTTTCTTCCAGGCCCTGGGGATCTGCCCTTGCTTTGCGGGAGACTAGCCCCCCTCTACCCATGGCCCCTTCCCTCACTCAGTGCTCTCCCTCCCCATCCTGCACCCAGGCATCATACGAAGGAACTCCCTGAGTGGCAGCAGCACCGGCTCCCAGGAGCAGCGGGCAAGCAAGGGGGTGACATTCGCCGGGGATGTTGGCAGGATGGTGAGGGCAGGCCCAAGGGAGGGAGAGCCCAGGGAATGGCAACTGGCTTCAGCTTCACCCTCCTCCCACCTCGGCGGTTTCTTCAGTGTTTTTTCTTTTCCCTCCAGTGAATTCAGAACAGAAGCCGTGTGTTTCCCCTCCACCAGGACCCACTGTGGAGCTTGTGCTCACAGAATCTGCTGGCCAACCCAACTCTGCAAGGAAGACTTCGGCACTGAGGGAGTAGGACAAAGGGGCATGGGGAGCGCTGGTCCATCATAGGGAAGAGCCAAATGTGTGAGAACTATTTGCTGTGTGTAGAGATATAAATCTGCAGCCTACCATCCTCATCCCTGCTACCTCCCCAGCCAAGAGTCAACCACTAAGCAATCCCACCCAAGTGCAGAAGCTTCCAGAGGGCACACTCCCAGATGGGCCAGTGGACAGACTGTTCTCACGCCAGAATTAGCAGCAGCCAATAAAAATGCTGGAAACCATGACTCTAAATTTGTACCTGTCAGGCTTTAAGAACTGGGGGCAAAGGCTTGAGAAATAAGGAACGGGAGGACTTAGAAGGGACTCTCCTTCCCAATAGAAGGCAGGGGAGGGTGAAGCCTTCTGGTTTCCTGCCAGCAGTTCATGAGGAAACTACACAGTTAATGATCCATAACCCCAAGCTGAGATCCCATCTAGATCCCACCTTAGGTCTACACAGGCAGGCCCCAGTGGAAGTTACAAAAGTGAAAGCTGCTTGTCCCTCGCCCTTCATCACCCTTCCTCTTGACGGGTGGGAGAAAGGCAATAAAGCTGGAACAGTGCGTTGTTCTTGAGGGCAGAGGACAACGAGTGACTTTTCTCTCTCCCCTCCCCTCAAGATGTGGTTCAGTCTCAAAGACGGAACCAGTGACCCACCACGAGCTCTCTCTTAAATCAGGTGGAAAGATCTCACGGAAAAAGTAATTCTAGTTAAACATTTATGGCTCCCTGGGGCAATGCCACTGCTGCGGCTACTGCCTGTGGAGCTTTTTAGCATGAAGTGTCAGCCCAACGCACTCACCTGACCCCAAGAAAGATGACTCAAGTTTATTCTCAACCTGACCCCGTCTTTCCTCACACATCCAATACTGCACAGAGTTGCCACACCCACTCCCGTGACAGCCCACTTCTGGTCCTCCTTCCTCCCAGTCCCTGGGAGGTGAGGGGGTTAAACCACCAAGTCAGAAAGCCTGGGAAAACCCAAGGTTGGATACCTTTCAAAAAAGAAAAAAAGCGAACCAGGAGAAGGGCTCCGCTCCTAGCCGTGGCTCACAGTTGAATGTGAGGTGGGCAATGTTCCCTTGACAACGGCCAAACGCATAAATCCAGAGCTTCTTGGGCTTAATCATAGTTCAAGGTAAGGTGCCAGCAATGCTGTGAGCAGGCTTCAACTTCGACAAGGTCACAGGGTATCATGCATCACGTGAAGGGGCTCCAGCAGGTTGGAGATGTGCAATGCGCATCTGGATCAGGGTCCGGATGCCCTTTCCTTTGCTCGGGCTCGAGCAGCTTTAACTTCATCCTCCAGCTCATCTAGGAAATGCTCCTGGGACACTGAGTAGAAGGTATAACCATCTGCGGAGGTGGGTTAGGGAAACCACTTGAAATATGTACATTCCCTTTTCCCAGACTTGCTTCCACTACACTTGTTAAGCTCTCACCCTCTCAAATCAGTGCTTTATTCTTCTGCCCTCTGTTCTTCCAAGGTCTGACCCCAACTGTTACTATTAATGAATCATATTAAAAGAGCACCTTAAAACCACAAAGTAATGGGCATTAAATGTTTGACCCAGCCTTAGGTTTTCACAGCTCAGATTCTTTCTACCATCCTCCACACTGCCCTCCTACACGCTTCTGCTCACCTCCCCTTGCCCCCATATGTGGCCTCCCTGAATCTACAGTACAGACGGATACAAATAGCTAACACCACGGCCCCAATGCCCAGGCCGGTCAGGATGTTCCGGGTTCGCCGCTGTGGTAGCGTCTTCTGCCACTGGGCGAGCTGCACCTGCCGCATGAATTGCAGCTGCTCGGGAGTCAGCTTCTCTCGTGTCGGGTCAATGCGCTGGGCCAGAGGGGCCTGTCCACTCTTAGCATTCAGAGGGTCGCCAGCTCCGGGGGCCGCCATATTGCCGCTCCTCTCTTCGAAGTCGAGGGGCGAGGAGTTTGCTGGGAATAGCAGTCTCTGGCCGCCGCAGGGGTCTCTGGGAGCTGTAGTCCAAGATTTTTTTTTTTTTTTTTAAACCAACGGAGCGCGGCTCCTGACCTTAGATGGGCGGGGCAGAAGGGAAGAGGCCGTGCTTTCTGATTGGCTGAGGAGTCCTGGCGGTTGGTGGGGGGCGGGAAGGACTGCGGAGCGCACGGGGCTGTGGCGGGAACTGCGTGTTCCTTAGACTCTAGGCGAGGGCAAACACACAAGGCGGGAGAACGAGTCCAGAGTGTGGCAGAAGGCAGTGGAGAGAAGCTAAAGGGATCGGTTTATGGATCCAGCGAGCCTTCTGGGTGTCCGGAAAGGTGTCTGAAAATGAACAGACCCGGGAGACCGAGACTGGCCTCTCTCAGTGAATTTCAGTTTGGAGCTGTTGCTACAGAGACGATCGAAGACGCTCTGCTCCACTTGGCCCAGCAGAATGAGCAAGCAGTGCAGGAGTCTGCGGGACGGCTGGGCAGCTTCAGAGAGACCCGGATCGTGGGTGTGAACGCAGGGCCAGGGAGCGGGTTTAGGGGAGTGCTGGGCATCTGTCTTTGAGGCGCCGACCTTGTGATTTAGTTTACTTTATTAATTCAAATAGGTTACCGTATGCCGGGTGCTGGGGATGCAGTGATAAGCAAGCCACACCAGTACCCCACCCTCGACTTCCACATGTGTAAAGATAAAAAGATGAAGCAGAGATCTAGCCCCTGTTTTCAAACCACATAGATAATCCTTGGAGAATATTAGGGCAAATCTGCAAATGCCGAGGTCCAAGTATGGTTAGATAAGTGACATACCCATAAAACAAGCCTTCACGGGGATTGAAAGGAGTGATGGTGCGAGGTGGGGGTAGGAAGAACTGAAGAAGTCCTCCGGGCATTGTGGCATTTGAAGTAGGCCTCGAAGGAAAGATGACACTTTGGTTGGTAAAGATAGGAAACGGAGCCAGCGATTCTAACACAAGTAAAGCTATGGAAATAGGGAAGCTTAGAGTAAGTCTCAGTAAATTAGCCCAACTACTCAGTGAAGTAGTTGAAATCAAGATCAGAAAGGTAGTTGGGAGACATTCTATGTGGAACTTTGAATGCCAAATTCAAAGAGCAGTTTATACTTATCTCTGCAGAAAAACAAGGCATCGAAGGTATTTTAATGTGGGTGTGAGATGACTCTAACCTTTGCTCTAGGAGAAATGTGCTGGCTGTGCTGCAAAGGATGGATTGGGGTCTAGAGAGGTGGGAGGGAGATAGACCAGCAGAGTCTGGGTGAGCAGTTTAGGTAACAGGGCTGAGGGAATTACAGGGAGGATGGGTAGAATAGAGGGTTCCACAATGGATGAACTTAAGAAGTGAAGAAGGCAAAGTTGACTGCCAAAGAGTTGAACCTAGGGAACTGGGAATAGAGTGGTGCCATTGAGGAAAACACCCACACACATTTAAGAAAAACTAAAACAGGAGGAAGTGCGACCTTTGTGAAAGATAATCGCTTTAGTTTTGAATCGACTAAGTTTCAGGTGCTTATAAAACAGAGGAAATTTTCTAGCAGGCTGTTTAAAAAATCAGGAGAGAGGTCAGAACTAGACATAAAGGCTTGGGAATTATCTCCATAATAATATTACTCAAACTGTGGCAGAGGGTGAACTACTAGAGGGAGAACAGAGAAGGTCGAGGACAGTTCCTTGGGAAACATTTTGTGTTCAAGAAATTGGAGTAGGAAGAAGAGTCACGAAGGGAATAAAAGGAGTGGTTTGGGAGATAGGAATCGAACCAAGAGATCTTTGGAAGCCAAGGGGAGAATTGCAGAAAGGATGGTGGTCAGCAGTTTCAGATGCTGCCGGGATTCGAACCACAGAAATGAGGATGGCCAAGGGGCCATGACATTGAACAATTTGGACGTATTTACTCACCTTTGAGACAATTATTTCAACAGGTTGGGTAAAGTAGAAGCCAAATTGCAGAACATTAGGAAGTAAGTGATGAAGCGGAAACAGCAGGTGTAAGCTAGGTTTTCACAAAATTAGAGATAAGAGGATAGAGGGGGAGGGTCTTTTAGTTAATGGTACATCTGAGTATGTTTGTAAGTGCAGGAGGTGGAGCCAGCAAGGGGAGAGGTGTAACCCTTACCCATTCCACCCTCCTTACTTTTCTTGGCAAATTAAAATGGAAAGTAGAAACAATTGCCTAGATAATTCAGACCAAAACCAAACCAAACAACTATACACACAGAGAGAAAACAAACAACAACAACCAAAAAGGAAGCCGGAACTCCAACACATGAAAGGACTGGCTAATAACAATTATTCTAGGGCATTTTGCTTAATTGCTTAAACTAATGCTCTTCATTGGACATTGCTGGCAGAGCTTTATTTAGTCTCTAACGATGATGGGGTTTCGTACATACACCTGTGTGTGATGTGTGTCAAATAGATTGTTAAATTATCTTGTGCTAGCTTGACCTCAAATTTTCTTTGAAGACATACTGTCATTTGATTGTATGTAATTCTTCCCTGATAAGTGCTAAGCTCTCAGTTCTGCAGCTTCCTTTATTGAGAACTAACATTTACCCTTGTTTCCACCCTCTAATGATATTGCAAACTAAATAAAATTCTATCCGGGGTGGTTCTTTCAAAGAGAAACAGGCAGCTTCAAACCTTGCCAAGGTCTCTTGCCCTTTCTACCTTCCCCACCGCCCAAACTGGGCTGTTTTCCCTGATTCGGAGGATGTTTCTTCAAAACAAACCACTCCACTGTAACAAACTTGCTCCTAGGGAGAGGCTCAGCTACCACGCATTTACCCAAGAAGCCAGTGGTGGAGAGATGGTGTCCAGCTGTAAGGTGAATCGTGTTTGTAAAGCAATGGGAGTTCTCCAGAGGGTGGTTACTAAACAAACAGTATTATAAAGAATATCGAGGCTCCAGGAGGGACCTTTCTGTTCCTGTCAACATTCCACTGCAAACAGAATATAGGGGTTAGGGTTTTTATTCATCCAAGAATCTCCCTTGAAGCTGAGGGTTCCCAGCATGGTGTAGAGGCCCCTTAGACCAGCTGGTATGTTTGTGTGTAGCTGGCTAAGCCTTTTATCAGCTGAGACGGACAGGAAGCCCGCAGGGTCACTGAGGGGGCTTGGTAAGCCCTTGTCTTTGGCACCCTGTCAGCCTCCTTTTCATGCCTCTGATCTGCCCATTGGCACCAAAAGGAGCTAAGCTCCTCTTGGGTTGTTTCAGTCTCATGTTTCTCGCCTCCTGACCCTCTCCCCGTACCCCCATCATGGCTTTTACACCATGCCAAGAGTTCGCAAGAGTGGTTCTGGTTGCACCTTGTGAATTAGGCCCTTCTTTCCTGTTTTGGCAGAGTTTGTTTTTCTCCTGTCTGAACAATGGTGTCTGGAGAAATCTGTGAGCTACCAGGCTGTAGAAATCCTAGAAAGGTAAAGCCCTGAGCATAAGGCACTTGTACATTGTACCTCTTGAAAATGGCTAATGTACCCAAGTCTTAAAAAGAGAAAACAGTACTAGTGTCCCTGACCGTGAGACCTTGTTTCGTACCCTGTATTGCAAATGTCAGTTTATTGCCAGTGGTCGCTATTGGAGAGGGTAAGATGTAGCACACTTTGAAGCAGAAACTCCTTTTAGTTTGAGTGAGTGTGGGTTGTTTAATCTCCCCCTTCTCTTCTTTACAGGTTTATGGTTAAGCAGGCAGAGAATATCTGCAAACAAGCTACAATCCAGCTAAGAGATAAGACCGAAGCACAGAATTGGAGGGCTCTGAAAGAGCAGCTTTTCAACAAGTTTATCCTGCGCCTTGTGTCATGTGTTCAGTTGGCAAGCAAACTTTCTTTCCACTACAAAGTAAGGAGCTGTGGTGGCTCACGGGCCCCTGAGTGCTAGAAAGAAACCAGCTCATTCAAAGGTGACTGTGAGGAACCCCCTGCTAGGCTAGGTGGTACTCCTCACGTGGAAATTCCTGAGTGCAATTATGCTTCCAAAGCATACCTCCCACACGCGCATGCAGGCACGCGCATGTGCACACACACAGTCACATAGGGGCAGTTATTAAATAGCCTGAAGTTCTGTTCCCAAAGTATAATTGCTGGACAGATGCCATTAGTCACACAGGTCACCTTTTCTCCCCTTGAATTCAAGGACAATTTACATAAAATGTCTGAGTTGCCAACATACCTATCAGTATTAAAGGGAAATATTCCACTTATAAAGGATAAAACTTTTCCACACCATTACCCAATGCCTATATAATGAAATATCATTCACTCAACAAGTATTTATTGTCTTCTACGGCCAGATGCTGCACTAGGTGCCATGGCTGTAACAGTAAAAATATCATCTGTGCTCTCAAGGCACTTACTATCCAATGAGAGAAGACACACAGGCAAATCATGTGGGAAAGTGTTCTGATCAGTGTACAGACAGAGGGCTATAAATGTACCTTATCAGCTATGGAGAGTCAAGGAAGTGTATTTGGAGAAAATGCCTTCTCAAAAGGGGAAGGGGTGTTGAAAGGTGGGGCTGGCCCCAAGGGAAGAGGGAGCAGCGTAAAGGAAAGCAGGGAGAAAGAAGGGGAAGAGGGAGATCCAGATGCAGGCAACAGCATGTGCAGAGGCCTGGAGACCCTGGTGGGTGTGGGAACCAAGTTCGCTATGGCAAAGCGCTGAGTAGAAGGGGCGTTACCAAAAGAGAAGAGGCGGCAAAGGCTTGGGCTGGACTGGCAGGACTTTGTATAATGCTGTGCCGAGGTGCGGCCCTTACGCTGACACACTTTTCTCCCCCTCACTGTTTTGTTTCCCTTTGCTCAGATAATCAGCAACATTACGGTCCTGAATTTCCTCCAGGCTCTAGGATATCTACACACTAAGGAGGAACTGCTGGAGTCAGAGCTTGATGTTTTGAAGTCCCTGAACTTCCAGATCAATCTGCCTACTCCCCTGGCATATGTAGAGATGCTCCTGGAGGTTCTAGGTACTGCAGTGTGCCAGGGACTGTGGGCTGGAATCTCCCATAGAAGACAGTAAGAATATATATACTCAGGGATCTGGGGGCAGTGGGCAGAACCCACCAATGAGGAACAGAAGGAAGCCTGCAGTGACTGAGGAAAGTGCTCTCTCTGGTACTTGTCAGGGAAAGAAACTTAGCACCTGGCTTGTTTGAACTCATTGGGTATTCTCACCAGATCAAAGAGTTACTTTATAGAGAGGCATGAGATAAGAGGGGAAAAAAATAAATATACTCTGATTGTATATGGAGATTTCTCTACCTTTCCCTTTGTCCTTTGAAACTGACCTCCAGCTAAAGAGGTTTCTTACAGTAAAGCCATCAGGAAGCACATTAGCAGCTCAACAGTTTTATGTTACATTAACAACTGTGATTATGATCAGAAAAGACCCGCATGATGCTCTTTACCACGCCCACACTCCATCTAGGATACAACGGGTGCTTGGTCCCAGCCACACAGCTGCATGCCACCTGCCTAACCCTGCTCGACCTGGTCTATCTTCTGCATGAACCCGTATATGAGAGTCTGCTGAGGGCCTCGATCGAGAACTCCACACCCAGTCAGCTGCAAGGGTAAGGTGACTCCCTCAGTGTAGGTTCCTTCCAGAAACGGGGAGTCCAGAATGTAGTGTGAGGACGTGGTGCTTGAAACTGACCTGGCAAGGCATCCAGCCCACAGACAATCTGCACAGGTTATCTGGTTCAAATTAACATCTGGTATGTCGCTTGGATGCAGATGACTGAGCCCAATCAGCAAGACCCTAAACGCTTTTGCTTTTAATTTAAATGACTTCGAGTAATTATTTCCTAGTTTTCTTTAGAGTTGTTTATAATTTGAGATTACTGGACTGTTTTTGTAGTCATTTGGGAAAAAAAGCCAGTCACAAGGTTGCAACTTGGACAAAAGTGTTTGATTACTGTAAAGTCAGAATGGTAAAAAGCCTCAGTTACATTTGTCAGGGAGACACGTGGGACAACAAAAGGCCCAGAAACCATTCAGACAGGAGGCTCATGTTTTAATCCCAGCTGGTCTGGTGTGTTGTTGGGGGGGTGGGGGACGGCGGCTGGGAGAGGGGCAAATAAGCTGTTACTTGACTTTTTCTTTCCATGTCTTAAAAATTCCAAAATGATCAACGTAAACAATTGAAGTGCCATGACCCTAAGATTTGGAAGGTCACATTTCACTCCAGCTCCAAAATTAATCATGGTTTTGGTAATTCAGGGAGAAGTTTGTCTCAGTGAAGGAGGACTTCATGCTACTGGCAGTAGGAGTCATCGCAGCAAGTGCGTTCATCCAAAACCACGGGTGTTGGAGCCAGGTGCGTGCCGCCGAGCAGGCACAGCGTGGTCAGAGTGCACGTAGTGGAGAGCGTCCTCCCGTGAGCGAAAGGAAGAGAAGACAACCTATAAAAGACAGGGGCTGAGACCCAGGGTTAAGATGAATGAGCAGGATATGGGCGAGGGAAAAACTAAGTGAGGACTGAAGTGTTCTCCAGTTTTCCTCTTATGGAATTGGAAATGGAGGTCCAAGTTCAGCTTGTTCATTTACTTTTATTGGACTTCACTACAATCTGCTAATCGATAATCTGCTATCATGTTCAAGTCCAATAAATGTATCCTCCTAAACAGAGAAAATGTCAAGGCTCAAATATCCCTCTCACATTTCACAAAACTTATCTCCAGACAAGTGAAATGTCTAGCAGAAACTTTCCACACTAACACCATCAGGGCAAAGGTATCCTAATGTTATCTGGCTATTGGCAAACACTGGGGTCTGGATTTAGTCTTCTCAGGAAATCCAGAGAAATGAAAGAATTTACGCTGGGCTTGAGAGAACAGCCCAAGCAGTGTGCCTGTGCACTAAAACATGATGAGATGCCTTGGTAATAGTAACCCTGTCTCTGTTCCTGAAGGTGGTGGGGCATCTGCAGAGCATCACTGGCATTGCCCTGGAGAGCATCGCCACCTTCTCTTACGCAATCCTGACCCACAGCGTAGGAGCCAGCACGCCGGGGCGACAGCGGCCTGTTCCTCCCCACCTGGTGGCCAGAGCGCTGAGGGCCGCTGCTTCCTCCAACACGTGAGACAGACTGAATCTGCCAAATACAAACGGCCTCCCATCACTGCACTCATCTCTCCCTTTGTTTACTTTAATGCTCAGGATACAAAAGTTTCAAGTATCTTTTGAACTGTGTTTTGTATTCCAACTTTATGCTTATTTTTCTGCATCAGAGAGTTAAGGTGGAGAAGCATGTCCTTTTTGTCATATCAGACTGAAAACATAAAAAGCTGGGAGAGATAGAAATACTAGTGAAGTTGATTCACTTTTATTTAACAAGATATTTATGCCTTTTCTTTAACTGTTCATTTCATTACGAGAGCACATCAGACATAAAGATTAACATTAACCAGGGGCTCAAAAACTGAGACCATCTGGGTGACCTTGACTGAGCAAGAAGGCAGTCTACATTTCCCTTAGTTTAACATCTCTGTTCTGTTACTGAGATCTACACAAACAGGGCTTTCTCCATGGCTATTTTCCACTAGTCTTTTTTTAAAAAAGGCTTTATTTATTTATTTTTAGAAAGAAGGGAAGCAGGTGAAAAGGGAAACAGTGCTGTGAGATGGAAACATCAGTTGGTTGCCTCTCAAGCAGGGACTGAACCCGCAACCCAGGCGTGTGTCCTGACTGGGAATCCAACCGGCAGCCTTTCGCCTTGCAGGACACCACCCAACCAGGCCACACCAGTCAGGGCGCCATTAGTCTTTTTAAAAAGTAACACTAACCCATCTCAACAGAACTTCCACATACCTGCATTTGAGCTGAGTTCTCCCGAAACACAAAGTGCTCTATTTTAGTTCAAGAAAGACCCACCGGTGCGCCTTGGGCAGTTATCAGACTGCGGCAAACCTTTTATTACAAATAATTAAACCTCGCCACAATGGCTCAAACAGTATCAGACAGCATTCCGTATCGCTCACGCGGAGCAGAGCAGGCATTCAGCACCAGCACCGAGTGAGACGTGTCAGATTTCGGGCTTCTGATCACATCACATGGTGACCAAAGCTTGCATGTCCTTTTCTCTCATTATCCAATCGTGCGTCTCGTACATCCCATCGTCTCAGTGGGAACAAAAGTTCCTATTTAACATTGTTTAAGTGCAGGAAGTTGAGAGAGACAAAGTCCACTGAAAAACACATCAATCTCAAGTCAACTCAGTTAAAAAAAAACAAGCAAACTTAAATTAGTTGTTTTAAGGGGAGAGAGGGAAAGAAAGGCATGGGGTTAAGGGTCAGAACGGTAACGAAGGCTGGGAGCCATACATGGCATGTATAGCCCTGGAAACTATTCGTCATATGGTATTTTAAAGTGGCTTTTGAAGACTTTTTTTCTTTTTTGGTATTGTAAACATGTGCTGTTTAATAGTACCCGAATTTAATTTAAAAACTTTTTTTCAAACAAAACAAAATTTAAAGCCTTTAAGGCAAACATCCCCCTCAGGAAGAAAGTCATTTATTATAAAACTGTGAGGACACCCAAGCCAGACCCCACTTCAGATTCGTCAGCATGAACTTGAGAGCTTTTGTCCACTGTTCCTCAGAGTTAAACTGGGTTTTGATGGAATAGGAGCCACCGCTGCCTCCTGTGTCTTCAATCTTGCCTTTTTCCACATCCATCCTGCAGACGGACACAGCAGAGCTCATTGGTAACTGAGATCGAGTTAAGTCAGTCCAGGCAAATGGGCACAGACTTAATCATGGGACCATTCACGTCATTTTATCTGTTAAAGAACTCTTGGCGAGGAACCATAGTGTATTTTGGATTTGCTTGAAAGCCAAAAATCAAGAAGGCTGTCACAAGAGCCTCATTGTCATTGTGGAGCACAGGGACAGCACACACACCCACACAGATGACAAGCCTGGAGCAGGGGGTGAGTGAGGGTTACAGTGCTCCTCACTGTTTTCCTAGGCATCCCTGAACTCACAGGCAGACGAGGAAGGCAGGAGAAAAGAAAGGCTTTGTTTTGGGGTGACAGAAGCAGCTCGACCTTACTCTCCTGAACTAAGATCTCCATCACTCGGCTTCTATGCAATTTGACCAAAGGAAGCATTCCTGTATATTTCCAAGGGCTTCGGGGAAAACGTTCCTGAACCTGGACAGCGGCCTTGAGCTCTGTGCCAAGAACACCCCCCAAACCGTCTGAGACAACACTCTTTTTCGCTAGGGGCCAGGTGCTCACGTTCTGTCCTACTTGCCGTGTTGATCAGTCTCTGCCCATCAGTGTCATGTGATTTTTCTACCATGTTCCCACCATTTATTCTGTTTTGCCTCCATTCTTCCTGTCCCTTCAGTTCCGCTCAACTTGGCCCTGCTCTAGGTTTGTTCAGCATTGGGGGAGGATACTGACCTGTAGGGAAGACAAAAACGTGTCTCGCCTTTCTCAACCTCTTCTTTGAACTGCTGCACACAGTCCAGGAAAGCCACCATCGCGTGGTCAAACTTGTTGTCCCAGAAAAATCGCAACCCCCCAGAACAGTACAACGGCAGCTCCTGCTCAAGGAGAGAGAACTGGCTGTGTGTGCGGCACTGAGACGGCCTGTCAGAGCGTGCTCGCAACCTCTCCATCTGTCACATCACGTTCCCTCCATATCCCACTGAACATGCCCCCCTGGGCAAAAGACAGTGCGCCCAGACCTGTTTTCCTAGCGATGGAAATGCCTTAAACATCCACCTCACAGTGACTCCTTCCCTGCCCAAGAGCACATTCTCCTCTGATCTGCCCACACCCCTTCTCCAAAGACTGTGAAAAAGTAATTTTTTCTACAGGCCTCAAAGTGTCTAATCCTGACCTGGACAAGACACTGGCTCCTCGTGAGATATCTCAGGCTAAAAAGGACACTGAATAAGGCCATTATCAAACATAAACTGTCCTGTTAGAAGGTGCAAGAATTTTGTATTCCAGCGAAGACGGAGCTCCCCAGAGTACCTTAGACTTGTCTGTCAGAGACTCCAGGTACGAATGGTTTCCATAGGGAACGAGTCGATACCTAAAAAGGAGATGCGCACGGATGGAGATGGGACGCCGCCTTCGGTGAGGCCTGACGTCGGAACCCAGTGACGTGCCTCTTCCATTGTTCCCGTCCCTCTCTCTCACCTCCCCGTAGGCCCCATGTTTAAGATTTTGCTTATGGAACAAAGTACATTTAATATGTAATTGTCTAAGGGCCTCTGTGGATGAATATATGTTTTGGTTTAGATTTAAAAACAAAACCTGAAAGTAGCTTAGGGAACACAAAAGTTCTGGAGACAGACGGTGGGCTGGGGACCACTGCCAGGGTCATGCGCATCGAGGGCTGCTTATCAGTAGAAAGAGCCTGATGCTGAGGAGAGAACCAGAAGCAGACACTCCAGAGAGTAAACTCCCAGTCTGTTGGGGCAAAGGTTCCAGCCAGACTGGAAAGCAATATGAGGATGGAGACAGAAATTATATCAAAGACATACCACACCCCAGGAGAGGGCTCCACTTCTTACCTCTGAAATTTCAGACCCATCTTATTGGCCAGGGCGTGGAGCAGCAGCACCGTCTGGCCCCAGGCAGCATTAATCTCATTCCATTCCACAGGAACGCTGGGCAGACGGCCTAGTCTGAAGTTATTGATTGTGCCGAACTGTCCACTGTGCCTACAGAAGACGGCCAAGGGCAGGGAAAAACACGGGGAGAACTTAAAACTTAGCAACTTCTGGGACTTCCTGCTGTCACCTAAGGCCTAACATAAATCTCTCTCCTTATCTCCAGATCCATATACCTACTTGGGACTTTAAACACGTGTCTGAAACAGGAGTCATTGTCTTTCCCCCTGCTGCTCAGATGCCAAAGCAGAAACCTGGGCGTCACCCTCGAATGCTCTCTCTTGGCTCCCTCCCTGCAGAAAAGCACCAGACTCTGTTGATTCTACCTCCTAAACCTCTTCCCTCCGTCCACTCCTCCCCCAACCCAATCTACTCCTCTCTTCCTGTTTACATTCCTACTAACAAGTCTCCCTCCCCAAAACACTGCCTCTTCCCTCAAGTCATGTCCCACGCTGCAGGTAAAGCTATCACCAACGGGAACCTAGTTACTCACTTCCCTGCCTAGAGTGCTCTAGGGGCTCACTGCCTTCTGAATAAAGTCCAAAGCCCTTCATGACACCTACAAGATCCTTTCCAGACTGGTGACTCTCCAGTTTCATATCCTGTCATTCTCCCCTTTACACTTAATCTCTAGTCACAATAGGCTCCTTTCAGTTCTCTGAATCTACACTCCCGCTTTCCTCGGTTTCTTCGCCCATGACATCCTCTCAGCCAGGAACAAGCCCCCTCCTCTGCAGACTTGTACTTCACATCTCAGCTCAAACGTCAACCCCCTCTGACAGAAGCTTCCCGCGTGGCCTTCCCGCACGGAGGAAAGTGCCCTTCTGTGCTCCCGTGGCACCTGGGGTAACCATCGGCACACTGTGTTACCACTGCCCACTACTGACCCATCTCCTCCATGAGATAGAGGCAACTAGAACATAGAACACATACTGTCTGCTGTTGCCACCCTAGAGCTTAGAATAGCACCTACCACACAGTAGATGCGCAACAGTTACTAGTTAAATGGACAAAACATCAAGTACGTTAATAGATGAGTGACCCTCAGGTCCAGGCACAGGACCAGAATTTCACGGGGCCCGAGGACTCAGATCTTCCCCTTTCCTTGGAAAAGTATATGGCTTTAAGCTCTAGAATCCCGTGAATGTGCACGGCCCATCACAAGGAATGGCAGAGACCCAGACGGGTGAGAATGACACACAGTCCCATGCTGTGGGAGGTGGGCCCCTGGCTTAGCGTTCAACAGCTAAAATCCAGGCAGTGCTTCCCAGATGTTCCCCATCCTCCAGCCCTCATTACCAAATGTGGAAGGTGGCATTAAAGACGTTGGTTTTCTTCAGCTTGTCTAGCTGCATCTGGGCATAACGCATCTGGTTTTCCACACTCTTCAGCTCATCGTCCAGTTCCAGCTGTTGTCGTTTAAATTCACTGTACTCTCTCTGATACCTGTGAGCATTCAAGACGGCCATTGAAGGCTGTTAGTTTGGAGGCTAAATTTTCTTTTTTTTTTTAATTTTATTTATCTTTAAAAGGGAAGGGAAGGAGAGAAGGAGAGAAATATCAATGTATGGTTGCTTTTGGTGCATCCCCTGTTGGGTACTGGCCCCTGCTGGGAACTGGCCTGCAACCC